AAGTTTATTTGTTGTTATTTTGAAAAACGGAAAGAGATTAACGAGCACTATTTAAAACATGGGATAACTCCTCCATCTTCTGATCAATAAACAGTACATTTATTTTGTGTAACTGATAAAAAAAATTTAAAAGTGTATCTCTAACACGACCTGAGACTTGGTAGTCAAAGAGATTTAATTCAAATTCATGAATAAAATAGAATATAACTTTATCTTGCCAACAAACTTCTATAACGGAATGAAATAAATGCATATGAAAATGCTGAAGATTATTTTCAATGCCGATACGAGGAAAGATTAATAGGCTGAGTATGAAGGACTGATGCTAGAATAGTGAAATCTTGCATGTATTCATTTCAACTCTTTCTATTAAACCTGCATGGTCTCTTTCCAGGTACGAGGGTGGGTTGAAAAGTTCATAGGCTGATTATGAAGGAGTGAAACTAGAGCTGTGAAATCTTGCATGTATTAATTTCAACTCTTCTTATTAATAACTACATTGTTTCTTTCCGTGTACGAACGTAGGGCTGAATGGCTGACTATTGTAGTGAAAACAGCCCGCTTAAACTTAACGATAAGCTTTATTCCACTTTATCATTACATGTGGGAAAATCAGCTGCTTATATCTACTGTTATCATCTACTGTTTATTCTCAACAGGGGTGGGAGAGAGAGCTCAATTACTATTGAATAGTTATTTTCCAAGCATAGCTTAGATGTGGCACAAGGCCACTAGTTATTTTCTAAGCGTAGCTTAGATGTGGCACAAGGCCGAAAGTATGGGGTACCTGGTGAGGATCGAACTCACTTTTCAGTCGTAATTGATCTAGCGAGACAAGCTTGCTAACCATTACACCACCCTCAGGTGCCCTAAAACTTTTTCTAAGCGCTGCTTAGATGTGGCACAAAGCCGAAAGTATGGAGCACCCAGTGAGAATCGAACTCACTACTCAGTTGTAATTGTTCTAGCCAGACAAGCTTGCTAACCATTACACCACCTCGAGGTGCACCAATTTCTATTGAATACTACAACTATGAAGGAGAGATACTAAAGCTGTAGAATCTTTCATGCATTATTTCAACTCTTCTTCTTATTAACGGCATTGTTTATTTCCAGGTAAAATATATCATCAACAGCAGATATGATGTCATCATCACAGCGAAACTGGTTCCCGGCTAAGTGTTCTTCATGTTGGGGGGCAGATGATAGTCCTATCAGGAGAATAGGGAATGTGATCAACCAGTTCAAATTTACAATTACGCACAGCAGACATTGGGACCAAGGACTCTTATTCTAGAGTGGTGTCCTGATAGTTATCGCGAACGGTTGGTCTTGATACTATTTCGTAACTGCCTCAGCAATTTCGCATAGTATTCTTCATTAATGGTGTTTCTCTTTTGTATCCAAAAGATCTGAGGCCATCACATTCCTTGCAGGTGAAAAGTTCTTGGCTTTCTTTACATGGATGGTCTCTGGCCCTAAATGATGAACTCAACATTTATTTTCGGTTAGGAAACGTTCAAAGAAACCACAATGTCAGATTTTCCCTTGTGCAATTTTGACCAGGTGCAGAAGACGTGGAACCCACTGTGCAGTAACCTTCATCATACCAAGTTCATTGAGCAGAATATATTTAACTGGCTATTTGATTTATATTCAAACACGTAACCTCCATCATTATGTGGTGGAGACAATCAATGTTTTTCTTGGAAGTGGAAATCGCAGGGTCATCTTCAAAACTTTCCCTTCTCTTGTTAAATTCAGCTGCCGACATTTGCAATGTTGATCCTCACCCACTAATGTTGCAAACTTATCAGCATGAATTCCCCTGGAAGCTAAGCCCTTTTTTCTGCATGCTGATTTGAACTCGCTCCGTGATTTTCACCGAGACGCCTCTTGTTAACCTTAAAATTGAGAAGTGCCCCATTGAGGTTTCCTCTTGGGTCAAAGCCGGCGTGGATGCTTTCATTCCCTATCGGAAATACCAGGTAAAACCTCAGTTTTCTTCGTGGTTCTCATCAGCATGCTCTGCCCACAAGAACCACAATTTCCAGCTATCCGGCGTGACAATTCGCATCCCAACAGATGCCTATTCGTAATAAATATAAACGTGTCCTCAAAAGAGCTAAGTCTCTGTTGTTAAGAAAATGCGGCACCGTATTGCATATAACAAATTTTGCTTTCATGATTACAGTGGTCTCTTTAATAGTGTATTAAATATGTGAAATTTTCTATTCCTCTTCTCTTCAATCAATTTAAGCTGTTAATATCGGCGGATAAAGCTGAATGTTTCGCCCGCAAATTCTCCTTAAAATCTACTCTAGACTCATCAGGAGTTTCCTTGCCAAAATTTCCCACTTAGAACTGAGTATCTGTTATAGGATATGCATATAACCGTAATAAGTGATAATTAATCTAGCGAGACAAGCTTGCTAAACCTTACGTCACGTCGAAATGCCCAACTTGGGATAGATATGAATTAACTTCTTCTCCCACTTATGGGTTACTTAGTAAGATTTGTATTACTAAATCATTGTTGTCTTCAACAACAAAAATTCTTGTTATCTAAAAATATTTTCTGGCTTTAAATAACGTGCTGGTTGATAAGCCGTAGAAAACGAATCAATTAATCAATAATTATTTATTTGACTCTCCCGAGATGGACGGATCCCATTACCAAGTCATGATAGAATAAAGCCAGACTCTAAGACTAACCATAAATCAATGAAGAAGAAAGAAGTTTCTCTTTCAGTAAGACAATGCAAAGTGCCGTTCTTTAAAAATATTTCTTTCGCAGCTCAGTAATCTTTTTTCAGCCAATGACCTGCCTCGTTTTCACATCTCAATATCAGAGAAAATGTTTTTGAATGGAATTTCTTTAGGATGAATATTAAATGAAACATTATCAATTCATATTTTGTTGAGGAAATGCAATACGAATTTGAATTATACTTGGAGCTTATTCTGATCTGTGCAAATGTAATAAACTACTTAGGGTTAATTTCACATCAACCGGTCACTTCTACATTTAGAGTGTGTAAAACCAGAACGCTTAAACATCTGTTATATGGAAGAGTCAAAGTGGATTATAGAGGGAGTAATATTTTAATGTCCACTGTCGCTTGCTTGAAATCAATCAGTGGTAGATAAATGGGAAGGTTCTGTTGTTTCTTTTGAAGTGCAGTGCCACAAAATATATCTTATCTCAACGAGGAAATCTTGTTCAAAAGACCGTACAGAAGTGTCAACTGAGCGATAGGCGAAACTCTCTAGTCATATTGGATTTTATTTAGTCTTGCGGAGTTGTTATGCGGTTGTAGGTAGCATGGTAGGAATTTGTTGTCATGCTTGCAGTTAGAGATGACCTCTGAACTTTTGTTTCCAGAACAAGATAAGAATAATAAAAATGATCAAAGCATTTTCTGAAGCGTATTCCTCGGTGATTTTTTTTTTACAGTGAGGTTTACACAAGGCCCATGGGGCCACTCGAATTAGAGGGTTAAGTTAAGCGGTACTTGATACAAATAGGAGGGGAAAAAACGGTTAACTCTAGACATGAACAGGTTAAGAAAAATGTAGTTATCGGGGAAAGATCCTCTTAGGAGTTTTTTTTTCCCAAAATGCAATGGTTCACGGGAAGAAGCTGTTCGAGTGGAACTAACTTCTCACCGATAGTATACGGAGGAAATGTTGGTGGTTTGAGACAATTCAGGTGGCACTGATATTTTCTTATTTAACATGCTAAAAAAGAAAGACGCTATATCCACCGACAGTAAACTGCGCAACTTGAGAATTTAACCTTGGCCGACACTACTGTATGAATTCCTCAGACTATGGGAGCATTCGTGTTTTTCTTATCGATTGACCAAATAGACTGTGATGAAAACCTGAGGAGATTCTATCAGCACAACAATCGGTTTTGAATTCATAGATGTCCTCCTTTACAGGTTTCTAGCCAAGGCTAAAGAAACAATTCTGTCCTGCTCATTACCCATAACTAAGGGCAGAAGAAAAAGATTCACACTTTTCTGAAGGGTTTTGTGAGAAAGTGTATGCAACTGAGATGGAAAACATTACTCATCGATTTCCCGAGCTGTTAAATGCTACGATACCCACACATCCTAACACTCACAGGTTTGTTGTATATTTTTCTGTTGTATTTGTTTCTATCATATTTCTGTCGCTTTTATTGAAATTCATAGATCATCATTCTATGACTGTTAGCATGAATCGGAAAAAAAGTATATGCCTGAAGCCTGATTCGAACACGCATTTCAATTCCACGAAAATTGTCAATGTTTCTTTCAATAAATTTAAATCACATTACCGCCACTATGTCTTTAGTGGATAATTACAAACAAAACAAGGAGTTTTATTTAATTATTCAAATTATTCATCCTCAGGTAACTATAAACTTTTTAATATGATATTCTTTTTTTTATTAATTTTCAAAAGACACTATCAAAAACAATGTCTTACACGAAATCTCAAGGCCTTTTCACATAAAGTGAAACAAAATACCATTTGATTGTCATTAATCATTCTTTAAATATAATCCTTAGATTAATCAAGATAATATATTTCTTGGAAGATATGTTCAGTTGTTAGAGAAATTGACTTGTAATAGAGAGGTCCGAATGTTTGATTATTTTAAAGCATTTTTTTTTATGAAAAAAGTGTGTCTTTTCAGGGCGTAGGTAATCATAACACTCAGCGTATTCTTTTTTTTTTTTTTTTTTTTTTAATTATCTGGGAATTGCTATCGGAAATAAAGTGGAGTGTTTTTCTGTTGTCTTGATTTTGAATGCAGAATTGTTCTTCTCTTAGACTGGCTGCCAACCAAGTGTAGAAATCTCAGCCTGCCCCCCTCCCCACTATTTAACCCAGGAGATGAGATTCATAACTTTCCCAAGGGCATAAGTGAATACAACAGACTATATCGAAATTCGAACTCGGCTTGCTAATTCCACTTTCCGCAATAACAGTTACAGATCACGTTGAAAGACATGTTACTGTACGATCACATATGTTAAGCAACGTCGAGCCTGGTCAGTACCTGGATGGGTGACCGCTTGGGAATACCAGGTGCTGTAATCTTGGATGTGTGGATAGTATGGCTTACGACGACATCACGTTGAAACACCTGTTCCCGTACGATCCCAAAAGGTAAGCAACGTCGAGCCTTTTCAGTACTTAGATGGGTGACCGCTTGAGAATATCAAGTGCTGTAAGCTTGGATGTGTGGGTGCTTTAATGGATAACGGCTCGGAATTGAAAATCGAAAAACTGATTTCCATTTCCCGTTGGGTTTGTTATATTCAATTACGCGCAATTACCCTTGGGAAAAAGTATAAATCAACATCTTTTCCCCAGCTATGGGTTAAATAGTAGGATTGTATCATTAAACCCTTATTACTCCACCAAATTCTTACAATCTAAAAAATATCTTCAGTCTTTAAATAACATACAAATGGCTGATAAGCCGTAGAAAATTAATCAATAAATTATAAAAGTTACAATGCCAGTCCATAAAACAGATTTCATATAGAAATCAGTCTTCAGTATCAAAACGATGTTCTTCTTTTTTGAATTCAGATCTGTTCTTCTCTGCCAACCAAGTATAGAAATAACATTCTGTCCTACTATAAGAAGTAAATTACTTATTGATGAACTGGGAGAAAGTGCAAACCAATTATTCACGATAAATCATAAAATTTAACACATCTATACTTATTTTAAGGATTCAAAATTATGAGGATCTTTATCGTATATAAAGACGAAACCCATTCAGGATACTTAACCTATTGATGTTTTATTTAAGAGCAGTGACTGCACCAACATCAGATTCAAAGATTCTTCCACAGAGATTCTCCCACATGTGTTCTACGTCAATCTACACCATCACGTCAATTTTCCCTTTGGGCTTAATTTCGAAGCTTTCGAAGTGTGGATATGGCCACAAGACAGCAGATTTATAGAATTCAGAATATTTTTATTCTGCTACTGTTTGCCAAAGAGTGTAAAAATTCCAATATAATTTGCTATTTTACTCGAAGCAGAGTGGAAAACCAACGGAATCATGTATTTCACAAAAGCATTATTGCGAAATGAGTAGAAAGTCTTTTAATCAGAATTAGAACTTGGCTCTCCGATACCCGTTTTTTCTTAACCATTACGGCAGCCAAACCGAATAATGTAACCATTAAGAATAAATAATTTGTTGGAAGTGATTATTATAAATGGTAAATACTGTATTTCATTCGTCAGTTTACAAAATTCATGATAGCCGAGGAAGACGCATACCAACCAGAGAAGAAAACTGTTTACAATAAAACATTCAGTTTCTCTTTAATATTTTAAGAATTTAAAAGCAGACCCTAGAAAATCCTCACAATCGTTTCCATTAAAATAAAAAATAAAAAAAAATTGATTCACACATTCACTTTAAGCCGAAAAATGCTCCGGGCTTCGATTTAAGGCGAAAAGTCTCTCCAGGAAATATCTCTATATAGTTTGGCTTATTTTCTTCAATAATATATACTTATGATTTTACCCCCAGGAGAAACTGTATATAAGTAAATGTTTATATATATATATGATCATATATAGATACTTTTACGTGTGTGCAGACGTAAGAATTCCATATGATGATATCCATATTTGTTGTCGCCAATTTTACAAGCACATAGCAGTATTAAATGCTTTTAACCGTGGACAATGGAATATTAAATAGCTATATCTCTATCCTATTCCACACTTTCAATCAGTCTCCTATAAAAATCCGGATTCCCATTTGTGCATCAGTTTAAACATTTTTAAAAGCGCATTAGGAACATTTGTAAATAACTAATGCAAACACACACATACCCACACACAAACACACACCTATAAATGTTATTACTTGATTATATATAAATCTTAGCTAGGTGTAATAAAGCTTGTGTGGATGGGGACATATATATATATATATATATATATATATATATATATATATATATATATATATATATATATATATATATATATATATATATATTCACTATATATATATATATATATATATATATGAATAAGTGGCGTATGGAGGAAAAACGTTAAAATTTCCTTCCTTTCTGCCGTGCGAAAATGACCTAGGTGTAAGATATCTGACTGATGTCAAATCAGTGTTTCGATCCCGGCTTGAAGCAATCAGACGTCTAGCCACACTGAAGAGTAATACAGCGACCCAGCCTGTGGATGGCTATATATATATATAGCGTTAGAGGTAATGAAACATTTTTTCACTTAATTCATGCTTACTTCGAAGTTTCGTGGCTACATAGATGTGGCCACTCGTCGTAGGGGAGTTTATTAGCGATCTAACATTATCTTCGATATTGATAATCTACAAAGCCTTCTCGTCTTAAAGGCTTCAGCAAATCACTGAAAAAACAGCAAATTTGGCCCCCAAAACAGTCTTTCAAATTAACACTATATATATATATATATATATATATATATATATATATATATCGGTATATTTAAGTTTATTATTCTATTTTTGCAGTTTTCGTATAAACTGCTGATTATTGTATTGTGTTGTCTTCGAATTTAGGTACAAGAAGAAGTTAGACGTTCATATACAGTGTATGTATGTATGTATATATATATATATATATATATATATATATATACACACACACACACACACACACACACACATATATATATATATATATTAATACAGGTTTCATTAAATAATATAGACAAGTGTTGTCTATTTATTTTATGTAATTATTTTCGTAACATCTGATAAGTTTAATATCATTATTGTTGAACGAAGAAAGAAATTCACAATATTGATCCATATTTTTTTAATATAATCTAAGCTTTCGGCGTACTTAAGCCATTATGAAAGATGTCAATTACAACATATTAAAGAATATACGGATACGAAAGTTATGATAGTCTGTCAATATTTATATAGATGATTTCTAAGCAACCATAAACACGCGTATATAAGACGCTAGAAGCGAAAATCGCACCGCATCTCATGACGTCACACATGACCACACGAGAGTGAATTGGAGTATGAAGTATGGAAATCCGTTGGTATAAACCAATGGCTTCTGTTACCAATTATAGACATTTAAGAATATTTGTAGAGATTCCATAGTTGATTTTGTTTAGGTTGGGTTTTAACTGTTTGATGTATAATGCTTCAAGGATTTTTAGTTTTTGTCTATTGTTTTCATGTCGAAGTATAATTGTGTTTTCGACAAGTATTTTACGGAATTGTGTATGTGGGCAGGCATGTTGTTTTAAATGCCTAAAAATGTTAGAGTTTTCATTAAAATGTAGTGCCAAGCGTCATGAAAGCGAATTTGTGGTGTGACCAACATAAATATTATTTAATTCGTTGGAGATATAATCTCCCAAAGGGCACTTGAATTTATAAACTATGTTGGTTTTTTGCAAATCGCTAACCGGGGGAGAAGAATCATTGCGAAGTATTAAGTTGGATATAGTAGATTTAGTGTAGTATATGATTAATTTAATTTTTTTGCTAGGATCTATAGTTGATATATTAGAATTTACTAATTTTTTTAGTATATTTTCATCTTGTTTATAATTAGTATGCATTTGATTACAATATAGGAGATTAATATATTTGAGATCAGTAGAAGCAGTATTATGTACAATTTGCTTATTGTTGAGATTTTTAAGAAAGCATCTTATTTGTTCATCAACTATATAGTTTGGAAAGCTATTATTAATAAGTGTCTGTTTTATATTCTTTAGTTCACTGTAAAAAATCTGTTTTGTGGATGAATTAGTTTCTGCACGATGTATTAGATTCTTTATAATTGCTATTTTGTAGTAATATGGTCATTCGCTCTTGTAGTTAAGTGTACATGGATTTATGCTGGTAGGTTTTTTGTATGGCGAAATAGTAAATTTGTTATTATTTGTGTTTATCAATATGTCAAGGAAGGGGATTTTATTATTAGTATTGAGTTCATATGTGAATTTAAGGACAGAATTATTTTGGAACAGTTTTTGAAGTTGAATTATTTCATCTGTATTTTTAACTAACATGAGAATATCATCAACGTATCTTAGGTAGATTGATGGTTTTTTAAAAATCTGTAAATAACTTATTTTCGAGGTTCGACATGTAGAAATTGCTAAATGTCGGGCCCAGTACTGAACCCATGGAGACACCATCACGTTGTGTATATATATTGTTATTATGATCGAAGAAAGGGACTTCAGTAGTACAAGCTAATAGTAGTTTTCTTAATATATTAGGATTAATTTTAAGTGGGGGTAAAGATGAGTTACTGTATATATTTCTTATAATTATGTCAATAGTTCCACTAACAAGGACATTGGTAAATAAGTTTTCAACATCAAGTGAAGCCATGATTTCATTGTCAGGTTTTTCACTTTTTAGGATTTGGATTACTTCTAATGTTGACTCAACACTATATTTACTAGGAAGATAGGGAGTAATAAGTTGGTTGATGTATTTAGTTAGATGATATACAGGAGTTGGAATTTGCGATATGATAGGACGGAGAGGATAGTTAGGTTTATGTGTTTTTATAGTGCCATATATGTAGCCAGGTCTATAATCACCAACAATTTTAGGGAATGTTAAAGAGTTCTGTTCAGCATTATTAGCATTAATAAGTTTATTAAGCTTTGATTTTAGTTGTGATCATGGAGTATGTGGTCTAGTTTTTTGTTGTAATCCAATTTGTTTAGGATGACAAAAATGTTGGTCTTATCAGCTGTTTTTACAATAATGTCAGGGTAGTTGCGTAGTTCTTGTGCGGCAATTTTCAGTTGTTTAGAAAGTATTTTTGAGGAGTTTCTGCTTTTATCATGCCGATCCTTGAATGCCTCGGCCTTAAGTAAGTCTTTAAATTCTGGTGTAGTTTCTATTAGTTGTTCAGCCTAGAGTTTAACTATGTTTTTCGTATAGGGTCTCAATTTCTATTTTTTTTTTTCTTTCGATTGTACTTACGGTATATATGGCAGTTAGGTCCAACGTTAAGTAATTCTTTTTGGTGCTTAGTTAGTTCATAGTTGGAAAGGTTAATGTATTTATCAGTTTTGTTAGGAAGAGTGATATTACCTTTGTATAATGTATTCAGTTTTTTTATAATTTTAATTCGGTGTTGAGCTTCAGATTTATTGGTAATTTCCGTGAGTCTATGTGTAATTTCCTCCAGTTGGTCCGGGGT